TATATATTTATTTTTAGCTTTAGTTTAATAGTAAAATTTTTGACAAATAGTATTAATTTTAGTATAATATTAGGTATATTAACTGATACATTAATAGATACGTTAACTGATATATTAACAGGTATGTTATCTGGTATGTTAATTGATACGCTAACTGGGTTGTTAAAAGGGTTGTTAACTAGGTTGTTAAAAGAGTCATTAACTGGGTTGTTAAAAGGGTCGTTAACTGGGTCGTTAACTGGGTCATCAACTGGGTTATTTACTAATAACCCAAAAGATATAAAAACCCTACCTTTTTCCTCAAAGCAGAGCAGACTGTCTCCTATCCACATTTAATTCCTTGTTATTTACAACTTATTTTCTTGGAAGTATAGCCATTACCTATCTTCTTTTTATTGTGTTTAATAAAGCTTTTATTGTGTCTTTATTGTGTATTTAAAGTTGAGCTATCACCTCTTCTTTCTTCTTTGAGTATTTATTTTTGGTATCTTGAGTTGAGCTATTGCCTCTTCTCCCTTTTCTTGAGTATTTTATTGTGTTTTAAGATTAGAGCCATCATATTTTTTTGGTTTATTATCTTACTTTAAAGTCTCTTTTAGTTTTCTTTCTTATTTTATTTTTTTCTTGTTTGCATACATATTTCTTAACTCTCTTATATGTTAAGTCAAGTAGTATAACTTTACTAAGACTCTGTATTGCTATATTATAATATTGATCAGGTAAGCATCTGTAACTTTGGTCTCACCAACTTATATTGGGAGGTTGTAGAATGTAGTGTAATACATGAGTTACATGAAACCCAAGTAAAGCAGCCAAATAAATCCAAGAGATTAGGGATACAAAAGCCTACTTGGGAAGTTCTGAATAGAGAAGTAGCACAGGTCTTCGATAGTACTATGTAAAGGATTATTATCTAAGAAACCGGACACTAGCAGTAAACTGAACAAGAACTGAGTGTTTGGCAAACACTATACCAACCAGGCCACCAGATTAGCCAGAGGAAAAAGGATTCATTCAGAATACCAGAGGATGCCCACTAGTTCTTCTTGAGCTATCTGAATTAGAAGTTTAAGGCACTGTTAGTTGGCATCGAAGTACTGTTGATAGTCTATAAAGTGGATACTGGGGTTTGGATAAACTTCGCAAGAGCACAGAGTAAGTAACAGTAGCAGAGGTAAAAAGCTGCAAGTACTTGGCTGCGGCCTAGACATAAATTATTGAAAAATCTAGATGATACATGTGTGAGATATGGACTGCTTTAGTAGGTTTACTATGAGAATAAAGTAGTTCTAAAGGGCCTTAGTGGCAGTTCCTCTTTGGGAAGAATATTTGACAGTATTAAGTTGATCAGAGAGTTTAATTGGGTAACTCAAGTAATAGTAGGTTACAGGTACAGCATCTAGTATAGTACTTAGTAATAGGAAACTACTTAATTAGACATTCAAAAGGTGCAGATATAACTAGAATGTATCTTCGTTAATGTAACAAAGTCAGTAGTAGCCCATGTGGTTGCTCTGGCATTCAATTTAAAGTTCAATAAAACGTGTTAGACCCCAAAGTGGTTACCTTAATATTAAAAAAAAAAGTTAGTAACTTATTGATTCTGACTTGATAACTTATCGATTTGGTTACTAAAAAATATAAAAATAGCTGAAACACCAACTTTGTTGACAGAAATAAAATTAGTTTTGCAAGATTAGATGAATTTCAGCAAGGTGTTTTGCAGATTAAGAGCAGATTAGTACTACAGGCCAAATTTTAGAATTTGTACTATAATGATTTGGTATTATATATATTACTGCTAGAATTAGAAATTATAGGTAATCAGTATAGTACAGTATATAGTATAGTTTTTAATTTTGGCTATTATTTATAAGATATTGGTTATACATTGACAAATAATATAAAATTTGCCTAGTTGAACAAATTTTATATTATTTGTCGATATATAATTTAATATTAATGTTATTATGCAACTATAATCATAACCTAAAAAAATCATTAGCTTTATATGTTATTAAAGTATAAATAGATTAGATGATTGATTAAAAATATTTTTTTCAAAATGCTGTTAGAAAGTAAAATTTATTTCTTTCACATATACTGATGTAGTGTTTTCTTTTTGCACTTTTGTGCTTTGATTTTCATTTGTTCTTTACTTTTGAACAAGTTCTTACATTGTTAGTTTGTATAAATAAATACTCTGCATCAAATGTTATCATTAGTTAACTGATAATGAGAATTTGATACTGTTAGAATTTATTATCATTAGTTGAACAAGAAAATTTACTATTGCTGCTAATCTATACAAGACTTTGTTATAATTAATAAGCTATAAAGATATAAAAAAAAAAAAAAAAGATGCCAAAATTGAAGACAGCTTCATATACCAGTATCAAGGTTGCTTTTTTGTTTTATATTATTGTTATTTAAGTATTATTTGGTTAGTCAGAACTAAAAAAAGATATTGAATAACAATTTATAGACTTTTAAATACATTGAGCTCTTACTTAATAATATAAAAGCTATTTGTGAAAGTTCACATATATAATCAACACACAAAGCAATCCAAGTATAAGTTAAAAGATTGAAAGATTTTGTGCAGATGTTGGTTATAAAAGAAAAATAAAGGATATTAATTCAAAACCAGTCTTAAAAGATCAATTAGCTAGATTCATTTGTGTAATGAAGCATAAAGATGATAAAGAGTACTATATATATTCAGGTAAAGAGTACTATGTGTCTTCAATAAAGAATTATATAGCTGCAATTTGGCATTATTTAAATAAGTATTTTGTTTTAGAAAAGCCTGTGGATATACTAAACCCAAAATTTTTTATAACCTTCATACTATAATTAATAAAAAGCTAAAAACTTTTTCTTTAGTAGGTCTAGATAAATGTAATAGGTAATGGTTTAACTATTAATGAAGTCAATCAGATCCTAACAAATCCTATAATGCAGCATATATCTTCTGAGGGTTTATTATATTGTATATTTTTTTATAATGCTATATTGTTAGCTTTATGTAGTGGAGAGCATCAAGATTTTAAGGTCAATAACTTTGTAAAAAGATATAATAGTAAGATAAATATTAAACTATACAGATCTAAAATGAGTCAAAGGAGAATAAGCGATTATGAAGCACAAGCTGAGACAATTAGCTTGCTGAATATCAAAGAAATTATTAATGATTATAAACTTTACTTTACAAAAAATCTAGCAACTGCTGTTGCAAACTTTTTATCTAAACTATATACTGCAAATGATAGTAAGTAATTATTAGATTAAAAATTTTTTTAGATATTCTAGTTTTTTAAAAGTTTTTTATTCTTATATTTTTTTTAATATAATTAATTTAAAATGTAATATTTTTTTTTTATAATTCAGCTGACTTGCCATTTTTTATTTGAGATTAAACTAAACTAGGAAATTTACATTTTCTAATAATAGCTATACTAATCTACTCACAAAGCAGCTTATCCATGCTTTTGCCAAATATAACTAGCCTCAGTGAACTTCAAGTCTCTCTCTGAGTCCCTAATTTACTAGGTTTATCCTTTGATCATGAAAGGGTATCATACACTATATCAGAATTAACTTTTCTTTTTATAAAATAAAGCACAGACAAAAATATAAAAGGCAAAAGAAAAATAGAGAAATACTTCAACATTAAATTCTGATCCACCTAAACAAATAAAACCAAACCAAACAAATAACAAAAAGAAAAAAGAAAATAAAAGAAAAAAAAACAAAGATAGCACTATTAAACCCATGCTGGATTGTAAAAATTATATAATATTACAAATAAACTAAACTAAACTCTATGCTAGTTATTTATATTCATATTTAGGATGTAAAAATATTAAAACCATCTGGTCTTGAAGTAGAGCTCCAAGGTCAAAACTTTTAGTTGCTATCCCAATTAGATCAGCAGATCTTCTGCAATATTTCAAACATTATTATATTATCTGACACTATTCATTCTAAAGTAGACATGTACATATGTATATTTCTTTTCTTTTTTGGCAGCTGTTACTGTGTTAATCTTTTGTTAGTGATATGCTGTTTTTCTTACTTTTTAGTAAAAATTTTGTAAAGTGCAAAGAGCTGAGTTTAGTAGAGGGTTTTAGTTTGCAGGTATCCTTAAACTTTGGTAAAAAGTGTGTTGAAAACTCGCTTATTCTCCTTTAGACCAACTATTATCTAACTTTATCAACAGAAGCAGTGCTTCTATTAAAATTTTTTGTATAATGACACCACTCTCTTGCTAGTTATCTTGTACAAAAATGCTTTTAACTTGCATGCCAAATATACAAAAGAGTCTGGAGTAAAGTGCAAAAAGTCTTGACTTCTGTAAAAACTGTTATTGTATAGTTGTCTCTTCTACTTTTCTCTAACAAGTTTCTGTTTTCATTAGCCATAAGTTTGGTACAAGTAATTGTCGGCTGTTAAAATGTAATATTTTAAATTCATTAATAAAATAATTTATTTATTATAGCTGAATTTAGTATGTGATAGCTTTTTAACATGCATTGCCTGAATGTACTTTAAAAGGCTATTTTCACCATATTTGTGAAATTACTAATATTACTATTAGCGATGAAATCATTTCAAGTTGAAAGACCACTGTCAAGATATTGAAAGGATTGGGGTATTCTGATTCTGTCATTATATCTATTACATACTATAAAACCCAACAAGATTTAACATTATATGAACGATCCAAGTCTGTAATGCAACTACAAGGATTAAATAGGTTTTTTAATGCTTTGACATTTATGGCAAATTCTTCACCATCTAAACCACAAGGTCAAGATAGTGAAATATCTGATCAAGCTGAAAAAACTATTGAAGCATTTGGCGATTTTACATTGGCAAACAACTATTCATCATTTAATACAATTGAATTTTCAGCAAATAACTTACCCGAATCTCCACAAAACGCACTAACTGAATCTTCACAAAATGCACTAACTGAATCTCCACAAATTGCACTAAGTGAACTCAATCAGAATGTGCAAAAAGAAAGCTAAGCGAATCTGGAAAGTCAAACTCAAAATCTAAAGCAAACTGAAAATCAAATTTCTAAAAAGAATTGGGGCTAAAACTGAGAAATGAACAAAGAAGCATTGAAAAAAATTCTTACCAGAAACGTTTTTCATAATTGTACAATTTCGGGTAACTATGAATAAAAATAATTGCTCGCATTAAATTGTAAAAAAAAAAAATAAATAAATGCAATAAATTATATACTTAGCTTAATTTGCAAATAATGTTACCGTTACATTTATCAAATCTTAAAATTGAATATTTGTACATTCGTTAATAAATTGCATTTGTTAATAAGTTGAATATTTATGCATTTGTCGAATATCGGCTTGTGTAATGTATTGTGCATAAAAATATCAAGGCAAAAAATAGAAGAGTTTGCACGATAACATACTGATCTGCTCACCCCATGCCATACTTAATATCATCTCGGCACGGGATGTATTGGATTTTACTTATTTCTGCAAGTGATACAAATCACATGCCAATAGGAAATATTCATTTGTCGTTATTTCGCTAAAAGCACGTGAAGTTTTGATCAGCGTTAGGGTTAGGGTTAGGGTTAAGGTTGGTATTTGGAACGTTGTAGAGTAGAATTTTTTATTATTAGAACGTAAAAGGTCAAAATTTTAGAGTTACCGGGGATGTTTTTGAAAAAACCTTCGATTTTACGTTACACGATGATTGCACCTGATTTTGTGAAAAATTTCTTTTTTGGATGTGTATCATTTGCAGAAATAGGTATATGCGGTTCATTACGCGAACAAATATTATATGAATATGCAATGTCCGTCCACCTTGCAGAAGACAATTTTTTTAAATACTAGCATGTGTCCTGTCGCGTTGCGTGCTTTTCTATTGGTGTCTGGTGTAATGCTAATGCATTATGATCAGCATCATGTAAGTAGAGCCAACCAATTAGATTTAATTTTCGTCTCATAGCGTTTATCCCCTATTGTTTATCCTCCCATGCTATATTATATAGAGATATAGATTATATACACATCGGTCGTTGACTTTGCTAACTTTTTTTTCTTTTTTTTCCGGTGTTATCAGACTGACAACACTCTATTCTAAAGCAGAAATCTTAGCAAAACCAGCTAATGCTAATTATAAAGTTAGATAATTTGTTTGATAAATTAGAAATTCTGATAGAGACAAAGTTTAGCTATGACAGGTTAGACTTAAGTGCTAAAAGGCACTAAGTAAGCTTTTATTTGATTAGACACAAAAATGTAAAAGCAGCAATACTTTAACTAGTTAGTCAATATAAATAAAAGCAGAATTGCTTAAAAAAAATAATCTGCTTATTTAATTACTATCTAAGCTTTGATTTACTTTACCAATATTTAATTTACTAGCATATTTATTTTATTAACACTTATTACCAACAAGTTTATTATTGACAATTTATTTTACTAAAGCTTATTTTACTAACAAAGCAACTTTTATTAAAGCAAAATAGAATTAAAAATATATTAGCTAATTTGTTTTAACCCTAAAATTGTAGAGGATTATTATATAAAATTTTTTACAAATTGAGCCTTTACAAAAATACCTTTTTTATTAGCTTTGCATTTATAATTATAAATATAGAAAATTATAAAATTTATATATTTAATTAAAAACCAAAAGATTAAAAAGCCATTTTTTGAACATTAGCAATTTACTCTTAATAGTTGCAACAGAAATAAATGTAAAGATTTCACAGATTGCAGATCTCTTTCTAACCAATCAAACATTAATACTATATGCTAATTAACAATCAAGTTTTTGAATTTTAAAATAATATTGATATAAGATTGAATGAAATTTCAATTAAAATTATTAAAATTTAAATTTAACTTCGAAATAATTACTATATATATTTAATTGTCTAATTAACTATTAAATGTTGTTGCTTACAACAAAATCTTAATTTCGCTTCTATATTCAAAACTATACCAAAGTTAAACCTTATTAATAATTCAAGCGCTATTTTCTAGTATATATATAATACATATGTATGTATATTCTAGTGAATGTACTAGAGTTGGTCACCGAAACCTTTTTTGCCAAATCCGAAAGTTTCGGGTTTCGGATTATAGTTTCCGAAAGTTTCGGGTTTCGGATTATAGTTTCCGAAACCTCATCCGAAACTCGAAACCTCACCCGAACCCGAAACCCTATCCGAAACCCGAAACCTCTTCCGAAACTTGAAATTCCTTCCGAAACCTCTTCTGAAGTTCGAAACTCCAAAACTTTATGATTGAAAAACTTTAGAATGCTTATCGATTCGAAAAATGTTAAATGTTTAGATGTTAGCAAATCTTTTATAAGTCGGTATTCAAAAAATATGGATGTATTGAAAAGCTTTCGCAACACTTTATCGATTTTTTGGAATCTTGAGTTACATTTAATTCAGTTGACAAATTCTTGATCATATATCTAACTTTTTTTAATATTAGCACTTATACGTGTGGCATTATAAAAGTCTGTTTATATTTGGAGCTTTTTTATATTTCTTGTCAAGATTTATTTGTTAACAAAAACTCCTTTCATAAACCTTATCACAAAATAAACACACCAAACATGCTAAACAAGTACTCAAATGAAAGTTTAATAATGTTAAATGTGTCAACATTACAATGAAATAACTTCGTTAAGAATAAATAGAATAAAATGGAATTATTATAGCTAATAAATCTCAAATTATTTCAAAAATTGAATTTCGAATATTCCATGTCCTTGAAAACAAAAACAATTGTAATATATATATAATAATATATAGTATGCTGGTATATGTGTTAGGAAAATAAATAAGAGTGTCAGGAAGTAGAACTGTCAAAATAAATGTCAATATATTATAATTTTTAAAGTTTCGGAGGTTTCTTTTTAAAAAATCCGAAACTAGTTTCGGATTAAAGCTTTCCGAAACTAGTTTCGGGTAGGTTTCGTTTCGATTACCAACTCTAGAATGTACCCACTCAAATCCTAAGTATGTAAGTACATGTTTCTTGTAATCTAAAAAATTTACATAAAAAAAAAATTAGTAAAAACATTACATATTATTCATATATTTACTTAGCATATTTTTAAAATTAATGCTAAACATGATAAAAGTACAGTCAGACCTCTGATGCGCGTTGTCGGGACCAGCTCTAGAGCGTGAATTTAGGGAGGGTTGCAATTAGAGAACACTAATAAAATCATAATGCGACTATTATCATGCTATAAATATGGCTTTAGTAGCCTAGAAATAATGGATTTGATTGGCTAGTAATCACGTGGAAGCATTTATGGAGGAGGTTTTTATATGTGTGCCGGACAATTAGTGCGCACTTACAGAATAAAGATCGCGCATTTATCTATAAGTCCCTTTGTGGGACTAGCCTTCCATCGGCTGTTGCATTTAGAGGGCTGCATTTAGGGGGTCTGACTGTATATGCCAACATTACAAAAATATATGAGTGCGTGAGAGTGAAAACATGGAAACCGATTTAATGATTTACTATGATCGGTTTCCAGGTTTTCACTCTCACGCACTCATATAATATAAACCTTTGTAAATCGTTTTTTCGATTTTTTTTTCCCAACCTAAAACACCCAAGTATCTCATCAAACGGTAAAAGTACTTCTTTTTACAGCTCTTTTTATTGGCTTTTTATCTTATTTAGACGATAAAAAAGCTCTTTATTAGTTGTAACAAGTGCACCAAAAACCAAATCAGCCGATATGGATTATCAGAGTTTGTGTCGGCGAATTGAGGGTCAGTGAAATAAACTTTCGGTGAAATGAACTAGTTAGTGAAATGGTACATTTGCGGAATGGAGACGCGATTAGAAAATTATTTCTTTTCTTGATAAAATGTTCAAATTGTAGTACCGTATTTTCGCGTAATAACGCGCAGGGGTGTAATTTCAAATTTTGGCCTAAATTAAGCTTAATTCGGGCCAAAATTCGAAATAACGCTCATGGGCGTTATTACGCGAAAATACGGTATATATAAAATAGTCATTGTGTACGAATAATCAATACAGTAGTTATTTTAATAATAATAAAATAATTTTTTGTACAGTTTATAAGGACAATTTATAAATATAATGATTACGATAATGAGACAATTAAAATTTAATTTCTAAAGTCTGTATAGCATGTTCTTACAATAGTGCTGCCTTAACATTATGAAAAAGTAGACTTATTAAAATTCTAATTTAAATGAATTAGTATATGTATCACCATTCGTTTCGTTCTTTACTGTTGCAACAACTTCCATTTTTCCAAAGCACAAAGTAACTAATACAGGTCTATTAAGTCCCAAATGAGTGTCAGGTAAATCCATATGAATTTCACCTAATAGTTTCATTTCATGATCATCACAGTATTGTGCTGAGTCTTTTGGGGTATAAAAAAGCTTAACCGTTCCGCTGTCTTGATCAGGTGCAACTGGATAAAATTTGTCAGAGAAACATTGATTCACATCCACTTCAATACCCCTTTTTGCTAATAAGTGAAATTTAAGGATTCCATCTTTAGAAATTTTGCGTGACGGAGGATCACCATTTTCAAACTTTGAATAAACTTCAATACCATAAGTCCATTTTAGTACACGAGTTTTAATTGCACCCATATCTAATCCATACTCAACAGCACCACGAACTATAGCAGCTACTGGATGTGGTGGGATCGCAATTTTATAACTATTAAATCTTTGCTTAATTTTTTCCTGAAGATATTTAGATTCACTAAAACCTCCAACTAAAAATATTATTGAGCATTTGTGGATTTCTTCAAGTTGAGTGAGTTGAATGTCAATTAGATTAATAATTTGATCAACAACAGGATCAAAAAATGACATAACAGCCTCATAATTAATGTCAATAATCCAATCTTCATCTTCTAATTTATTTTTAATCTCATTATCAAGATATTGTATTAAAGAGTCACAATATTTTAGAATATCAAATTCGAATGGTCTAAAATCATCAGGATTACCAGTGAATGGGATTTTGACTCTTTCGCAAAATTGTTGAATAACGTAGTGAAATTGCCCATAATGTTTCTCCTTTAATGATGAAATAGCATGTTCACCAACTGATCTTTCCAGATATTCAATAAAGTTTCTATCTACATAAGTACCTCCGCAAAAACCACCGGAACGTTCAGTAGTTTCGCTAAGTTGATTATTAGATAATAGTTTCCTAACAGTTAGATCTACAGTACCACCACCACAGTCAACAACAAGGTATGTTGCTAATTATTTCGGTTAAAGAAAAAAATGAATTTTTATTATAATAAAATTATCTGTTATAGATTCTTTTATACGTAACACAATATACATACCTCCAGCCTTTAATCCATGATCTTTTAGCACTTTCATACAGTGTATAGCTGCAGCTTCGGCTATTATTGTAATTAAAATTGTTATATGAGTCTATATTATTTCATTTTACCGACAAGTCATCCAACTGCAATTTGCAAATAATAAACGCTAAAACAAATAATAATACAAATTATCAAAGCTAACTGTTGAATAGCATAGTGTGTCCAGAGATAAAAATCATGGGATTACTATGCTATATTTAACCAATCAGCATTACGTAATGCTAGCCGGCATAGTAACGTTAACTAATGAATTATAATAAATACTTACGCTCGGTGCTAAATTGCAGATTTTGGGTACCAAGAACATCAATTAAATTAGCATCATAGATACATTGTCTCAAAATAACTTTCGTTTCTTCAATGAATTCTATTAGATTTATATTAATAAAAGAATTTAAGATCCTTAAGATAAATTATGTCACGGATCATGGTGTAAAGTAGATTTTATTTATCCGGCAACCACTTTCCCGAAAATATCAAAATTCCGACTAGCATGCATTGTGTTAGTGTTAGCTGTAATTTGAGTCTGGATTTTGTCGGGAAGTGGTTGACGGAAAATGTTGTAATTTTACATAATTTTCGTAAATTAATTTTGTAGGTTTGAACAAGGTATTTAGTTTCTGAAATCAAATTTGCTATTCTAGGCGACATCCGGCAAAGTTTCCGAGGTCACTGATGTGATCATATAATTTTGCCAAAATTACATGCATAAATTTGGCCAAATCATGTGATTACATCGGAGGTGTTACCTATAATAAATTTAATCCAATTATGTAATTTCAACTCTGTGTGAAATAGATCATGTGGAAATTCCGATGTCAAATTATAATATGAAAGGGTGAAACCCGCGACAGAGGAGTTACGTTGTTGATGCAGATCTTACTTAGTTAGGGTTAGTGATAGGTTAGTACTATTTTAGATAGTGATCTGTATCAATAACTTCGCAGGTTTCCATCGCGGGTTTCATCCTGTCGTGTTATAATTAATTTATAACAAAATTTGCAAGTATATATGTATTTTAAATATCATATGTTGCGGTATTTTCAGCATGATCAAATTTTCATCATAATAGTAACAATCATTATTTACCGGCAGGAATAGTGACAACTAAACGCACCATTGTAAAAAAATTTGTTCCCGGATAATGATTTTCAACAGTATTCTTTATATACTATATAAAAAATAATCATATTAATTTTTTATAAAAGTACTGTGTATCGTTTAATATTAAAAGTCATACCTCGCCTATAAACATGAAGATAATTTAGAGAAGATCATATTTTATTTATTAACTTTTTACATACCCATTTTACGAAGATAGTCAGTAATTGCTTTTTCAGGAGAAAGATTTGGTAGCAATTTAGGTTTTTGGTTTTCTGGAACATTTCCTAAATGAAATTTAAAAAGCTCCACAGGTCTTGGCAATTTTTTTACTCTATTTCTACGTTGCCGCGTCTCACCAACCAAAGCCCGAGCACCCCACTCAATAACTTCTTTAAAATCTTCATCATACTGCAATACAGTGTTAGTTTTGGATTGACCATTTAACCCCGGCCAATTCTGGTTTGTAAAGACTTCACCAGAACGGATACTAGCATATGCAAAGCCCTGTATTAAATAGTATATATATAATCAGTTCTTGTCATCATTTTTATCATTAATTATCAATAAATTGTTTGAACTTACTGAGAATGTTGTGCCAAAATCTAATATTAAAAAATAAATTCATGTTTATTATTATAATATAAATTTTTATATACAATATTAATTTTCCGTTATATATATATATTACCTATTCCAACTACAACTCGAATATCCTCTGGTGTTTCAGGTAAAAATTTAAATTTGTATACGCGTCTTTCAGAAGAATTACTCTCCATAATAATTTTCGTGTCTTAGAGAAGTTTAAAAGAATCAAAGAAAGAAAATTATAGGTTTTACTTTATCGCTACTAAATATATAAGCAATGTTTTGTATTCGGATATCGTATTCCGTAATATTTTGAATATTGTAAATTTCACAAATTATATGTGTAAGTATTAATTCAACGGAAAAATAGCATTCTTTTTTTTTTTTTTATTGAAAAACTATTTTTATCTATATACACTATCTCCAAATTTACAGTATTATATTGATTATGCAAATAAAGCTTATTTGAATGGGTATCTTATTATCTGAAATATATTCGATTAATTTTAACTGTAGAACATAATATAATTAATTGTCGGAGTAATTAAAGATATAGATATCAAAAGGTAACTTCAAAAATGGTTATCTATTCAAGTTACCCTTATTATTGATTACGAAAGTGTCGTGTGTAAATCCAAGTATTTGATTGGTATGGTGCATAACATCCAAAAACCTCAATCACTTTACATAATAAAGATCAGTTAACTCACTATAGATAAGTTAAATGCAGTAGCGGCTTATCTTAAGCTTCAGCAGCATGATATAATAGTTTCTATTAAGTACATATTAATCTTGGCGTATTATCTCTATGCAAAGAGATTGAGCATTCTAGACCCTTCATTTTATTGAGATTGATAATTTTATAGATATTGAGATTTTGGATTTCTCGTACCGGTGTGGGAAATTCAAAAACTTAATCTCACTATTAGAGTTCTGCAAGTGTTGACACGCTCACCATTAAAATATAGTGCCTATGCTTGGCACTATGGTGTATGCCGGCATTTTAGTACCCTACATTATTTACGTACGTACGTACTTACCTGTTTTCACATTGAAATGTAATCCCCATTCTGCCCATATTTGTACATATGTACGTACGTACGTGCATGTCTTCAAAAGTATACAGTATTAATGTTACACAAAACATAAAAATATAGAATATAGTACCAGATATTAATAAATTCGAGGTGATAGTAGCTTAACAGATCGAAACGACAGGTAAGTATGATGTGTTAATGAGCCAACAATCACATGAGTAATCCAGATTCCAACAAGAAAATCCGGTGTATGCGAGGATAATGATAAATAAAACTTAATTCAGGGTTTGTGGCGTGATCACTAATATAAACAAATTTGTCATGTATATGTGATAATACAGTAATAACAAAACAAATAAAACGGGGTCTAACAGCAGCTCTCCAAAGGCGAAGCAAATTCGCACCCTCTCTTAGTAAATCCTGCCATTTTTTGCAGATTTGCAGTCGGCCTACGCTACGCAGGTGGGAAATCATAAGCTAAGGTTATACATCGCCAATTTGGCCGTAAAGCTTCTGGCTAACAGCCGGCCCGCATTATGCAAGTGAGAATCTACCAGCTAATGCCAATTATACATCAATTGCACCATGAATCTCTTTCAATTATACATCAATTATGCCGATGTATGCAATAGTTGATAAAGTATGTATGTATAGTTCGTAAAAGAAATTCTTTGGGATTTTACCTATAAACTATACTATCCAACACGAAAAAATGGAAATATTAGCACTCACCCTAGAGAGAACTTTGTATTTTTAATTTATTAGCTATTTAGAATTTTTAACCTTCATTTATATATTAAATTACTGAATAAGAAGGGTGCCATCGCACTAATAGGTTTAAAAAGAACCCAAATTTTTTAGCATAATCTTATTTCAGCATTATAACCCCAATAATTGACTAATATGTAGAATTAGGTGCTGATATTTTAACGGATATCTTTGATATTTATACAAAATGCAATTGCATTTTATAAACTTTAATTTTATTAGTAAATTCATATATATGTCGTGCTTGAAGTTGCAAGCGTTAACTTCTAGATATGGAAAAATTTTAAACGGTAAAACAGCTTCAACTTTTATTGCTAAGTTTCTTAATAAATTTAAATACTACTATAAATACCACAATAATTGCTAGCACTATATTTATAAGTATACTATTTAAAATTCTAATTTAAATGTATTACGATATATATTTCCATTTGTTTCATTCTTTACGGTTGCAATCATTTCCATCTTCCCAAAACATAAATTAACAGACACTTGTCTATCTTGTCCTAAATGAGTATCAGGTAGTTCAATATTAAATTCACCTAATAATCTTACATCAGATTCATCACAATATTCAACAAAATATTTCGGAGAATAAAAGAACTTAATGTTCGCATTCTTCTGATTTGGTTTAAATGGAACAAATTTTTCAGAAAACTCTTGATCTACTTCAACTTCAATACCCCTTTTTGCCAGCATGTTAAATTTATAAATGTGTCCATCGGAAGTTTTACGTGATGGAGGATCAATGCCTTCTTGAAATTCTGGGTAAATTTGTACACCATAAGTCCATTTTAATACACGAGTTTTGATAGCATCCGTATCTAAACCATATTGAACTGCACCACGAACTATAGCGGCTACTGGATTTGGTGGAATTGCAATTTTATGAGAATTGCCAAATTTCTGCTTAATCATTGATTGAAGATATCTAGATTCACTAAAACCTCCAACTAAAAATATTATAGAACATTCACTAATTTTATCAAGTTGAGCGCCTATTAAATTAATAATCTGATCTACAACTGGATCAAAAAAAGATTTAACAGTATCATAATCAATGTCAATTATCCACTCATCATCATCTAATTCGTCTTTTATAGTACCGTTAATATAGTTTTTAAGTGCAGGGCAATAATTTGTAATATCAAATTCAAAAGTTCTAAAGTCAGAAATATTGTCAGTGAATGGAATTTTAACTTTTTCACAAAATTGGTGAATCATATAATGAAATTCGCGATAATCTTTATCTCGTAAATTTGAAATTGCATATCTTCCGACTTTATTCTCAAGAAATTTAACAAAATTTTTATCTACGTAAGTGCCACCGCAAAAATCGCCAGAACGTTCAGTTGTTTCGCTAAGTTGATTATTATTTAATAATTTTCGAACAGTCAAGTCTACAGTACCACCTCCACAATCAACAACTAAGTAAGCTGCTAAAAAAAATTTTTTTTAAATATATTATTAAAAATTAAAATACAGTAATTGAATAACATAAAATTTTTTTCTAATCAATATTCAGTACATACATCCAGCTTTCAACCCATGGTCATTCAACACTTTCATACAGTGTATAGCAGCAGCCTCAGCTATTAATTTTAAAGTTATACAGTATAACTGTGTGCTTAATACTCATATAATGCCTTACGAAAGTATAAAAATGATTCTTACGCTCAGTAGTGAATTGTAAATTTTGAGTACCACTATTATCGATCAATTTAGCATCATGAATGCATTTTCTCATAATAGCCTTCGTTTCTTCAGTAAACTCTATAATATTTAATTTTTTAAAATTAGATATAAAATTACCGAACAGCGCGGACCATAGTACCCCCCACATTAAAGTACCCTCTATAAAAATTTTTCACAGTTGAATACAAGATACCCGGGTACTTTACAGAGTGAAATACCCGGATATTAACTATGTAGCATATATCATTTCTATGTAAAATACGCCTCTTATATAATACCCGGGTACTAACTTGGATTTTAGCTGTGGAATGTATCGTATCCGGATACTATAGTCCGCGCTTTACGGCATTTATTCAAATAATTATCTGTTTAGATGAATTACTAATATATCATGTAATATGAAATTACCTGCAGGAATGGTAGCTATTAAACGTACCATTTTGAAAAAGTCTGTTCCTGGCCAATGTCTTTCAACAGTTTGTTTTATTAACTGCATATAATGGGAAAAATTAAAAACATCCTTTAATAAAATATTTTGGATAAATAAAATTACAAAAAAAATTTACCTCGCCTATAATTAAATTGAAAAAAAATTATATAAACAATTGTCTTTATCAAATAATTTAATAATTTCTTAGTAAATCATTTACATACCCATTTTGCGAAGATAATCGGCAATAACCCTTTCAAAAGGAAGATCGAATGGCAGTTTTGGCTTTTGAAATTCTGGAACATTACCTAAATGAAATTTAAAAAGTTCTATTGGTCTTGGTAAATTTTCTCTATTACGGTCTCGACGACTGATCTCCGGAACTAAAGCACGAACACCCCACTCAATAACTTCCTCATAATTATCATCATACTGTAATACAGTATTAGTTTTGAATCGTCCATTTACACCGGGCCAACTCTGGTTAGTTACAATCTCACATGATGTAACATTAGCGCATGCAAAGCTCTAAATATTATTACATAGTATTATTACATGAATAGAATTTTTTAAAAATCATGAGTGTTAAATTGCTCAAAAATGGTCTAAAATTCAAAAGTTACCGAGAAAGTTGTGCCAAAATCTTATTATTTAATGTAAAAAAAAAAAAAAAAATTATGAGGACAGATTACATGGAATAATTTTTGTTTGAATTATATATTACCTATTCCAACAACGACTCGAATATCAGCAGGTATTTCTGGTATATAACTAAATTCATATTCGCGTCTTTGGGTGCTCATAATTATATCAAAAACCTTAACATATATTTTTATAAACCAAAATATAAAAACAAAAAGTACTGTGAATGTGCGTATACAAAATCCCTGAAATAGTAGACTCAAAATAAATTAGACCCGGAAGCGAACCACAGAATCTTTATTAATTAAATGTAGATTTTGTCAAATAGTTATTATAAATACAAAGTGTATATGTACTTTAATTTTTTTTTGTTTGTTGCTCTTCACGATATAACCTCTGGTCGTGTATTAGACTAGACCCGGGTCTATTAAGTGGTTTAAAAATTGGCGGAATGTAACAGACCTGGGTTTTGTATACGCACATTTACAGTAGTTAACAGACTTTTATAATACACTTATTAATGTACCTATGTGATTATAATGGAATTATTTCAAATACCTTATTAAATATGTCTTAAAATATGTTAGTTTATTATAGACTGTTTTGGAACGCTTCATATGAATAAAACGTAAATATAGAACAGTGCATATTTATGTAACAACAGTCAAAACACGTATGAGCATCAATTGATTTTTATGTTTAGATTTTTAATAAATACAAAAAAAGAAGAAAAAGAAATGAAGTTCAGATGGGAAAACCATCAACTTATGCAAATTCCGCAGTATTTTCTCGTAATTTTAAAGATGAGCATCATGCACCTTATCACATCACAAGAACATAGGCAGAAGTTCATCTGATTTGTAGATTACCCGTGATAAAAACAAGAAAATTTCATATAAAAAACTTACAACTAATAAATACAGAAATATACCGGTATTCAAAATATTTTATCACATATATAGATATGCGTAAAATAAATGTGATGTTTATCATTATAATGAACTCAAGCTTCTCAAAAAATTATATACTAATATTAATTTACAGTTAACAAACATATTCTTATGTGATCAAAAACAGAATAGGTAGAGAGCTTAAAGTTTTGGAAAAAGTGACCATGTAAAATAGAAGTCAAGCCGAAGTTGCCTTTTTTAAAAAGTTAGCAATGGTTTTTGTAAATAACTAATTTCCTCATATCCATGAAGGTAGAGCGGAGATAATCATGTGACTATCAGCCAATCAAATTATAGAATTTTGATGATCGCCGACGAAGCTAAAAGATACAAAAAATGGCTGCATTGGGAAAAATGTTGGGAAGGCAATTTTACATATATATAACTACCTAAAACCTAACCTAACCCCTACCATAAGATGACCCTCACCCTAAAGTTAATTCAAAATACTAATTATATAAATTATCTCCGCTTTAGATATTTGGCAATAACATCATCCTGTAACATAAATAATTAGTCAATAAATTATGCCAATTGTCGTTCCTTCTACGTAGTAAAGGGTGTTAAAAAAATTTTTTTTTTTATTGTAGCTTTGATAACATAATAGTCAAAAAGGCAGATTAGTCATGGTAGAACAAAACTTATAAAAAAGAACACGCGATAATGTAAATATAGATATGTTTCTTTAAGACAATTACTACCGTATAAATTCGAAATAACGCACACGGGTGTAATTCCAAATTTTGGCCTAAATTAAGCTTAATTCTGGCCAAAATTCAAAATAACGCCCCCTGGGCGCTATTTCGAAATTATACGGAAATTATAAATTTGAAGAATCTGATAAAGAAATAGGTGTTAAGAAAAGGAACCAAATTAACAAAAAAAGTTTCGAAAAATTATCGCAAATTCTATAATCAACTATAAAAAATATGTACAAACTTTAAAGAATTATACTGCAAAATTTTCTGCTACACCAATTACAATCCATGATAATTTCCACAATAATAACTGGACAATATGATTATTACAGAAGGCAGACCATTTTCAGATAATCATTTCACCGACAATATTTACTAATTATATATAGTGTTAGGTTATCTAAACATTGTCGGTGAAATGATTGTCAGTGAGATGGTCTTAAAAAATTTGAACAAATTGTTCTACTAGATGTTATTTAAAATGTTAAGAACCTTAAGATCTTCATCATCATAATTGTCATGAACTTTGATCAATAAAGCGTGTAAAACACATGAACTTTCATCAAAACAAACATATTGCATTTCATTTGATGAATCTTGCCCTTATATAACTTATGAATATCGGTATGTCCAAGCAGGCTGCGCGTATACGTGCCTTCTCCCTCCTGAGGATCAATTGAATTTGACTTTTGTCGAACTATTAAGATCGTTTGAAAGTACTTGCCTTTCCAACTGGTCTTTGGCGCATACAGCTGTGAGTACAATGGAACTTTTGATGTGTAAATTCCAGCACCGTACGAGTCGCCGTTCGATAAACTGATTACCTTATCTCCAGCGAGAGATCCGGGCTTTTTTAGACCATACTGAAGAATACTTTTAATGTTCTTCGGATCAGTTCCATGATAACTGTATGTCCAGTCATAATTATAAAATAAGTGTAACCCTTGCTTTAGTACGAATTTCGAACATTCAGACGGTCTCAAGTATCTATGCCCGCCACGATTTTCGATATGACAATAATTAGAGAGATAATAGCAATTGTCTTGATGATTAAACAATGAATCATCAAGCTGCAAATATTCTTTAATAAATTTACATGATACTGTATAATCAGATTTTCGTTCGAGATCCCATGATCCATATAGGTATCCTTCATTATATGTCATAATTACCTAAGTTTTTGGTGTTTTAATAACAAAGGTCAATGAGAAAATCGCAGCATTTTTATAAAGGATTTTTTAGGGTTTCTACAAATCAAACTCGGTTCCAACTTGGATTAAGCTTGAGTTTGATCTGATTTTCAAATCAAACTCAACTTTGATTAAGTTTGAGCTTGATTTGATTTTCAAATCAAACTTAAACTTTAATGCATCAAACTTTTTAGTCAAATTTGAGTTTGATCTCAAACTAGTTTTTTTAATAAAAAGACTAGAAAAGAACTAGACATTTGCACATGAGATTATCATGTGTATTTCCAACTTTAGACACAATTAAGATGTGCGTACGTACGTACATTCCAACTTTAGACACAATTAAGATGTACGTATGTACGTACGTATTCCAACTTTAGACACAATTAAGATGTAGCGGTAGTATTCCCAACTTTAGGCACAATTAAAATGTACCTATTCCCAACTTTAGGTACAATTGAGTTGCCTGTGAACAATCCTATCTGTACTCACGCCCTTAAACTATGCCGTGTAACCATATAATCCGTGATATTCATCGCAACGTTCTTGGTATTCATAAATGACTATAAGTAAATTTGATTTATATAATGCACTTAATGCCCAATGTGTCCTGGCTAAACTTGCTAACTGATGCATGTAATTTCAGTTAGTGCACATCAAGCATGTGCCAACTTCAAGAATCACATTTAGATATGCTGATATCAATATTATCATATTTTAATGTGATTATATTTAGGGGGAATTATATATAAGGGCCCAAAAAATAATAAAGGCCCAAGTTACATATAAGGGCTCAAATTTTGAAAAATATTACAATCAAGGGTCCAAATTTATCGTAACTAATTAGTTGAAAGTTTTTAAATTTTATAATTATAGCCAATTACTATTCATAACTTTATTTTTATGGGTTTTATAATTTATCGCTATAACGATGGGTCGCTACCTCGGGTCTAGGTCAAATAAAATCCCGAAAATCAAAATTCCGAAAATCAAATCCAAAAACTTAATTGTCGCGTCGCGTCGCGTGATGTCGGGTTTCAATATTTAAACTCCGATTATGATTAGTAATATATATTACCTATAGATTACTAATCATAAGTTGAGTTTAAATATTGAATCCCCGACATCACGCGACGCGACAACTAATTCTCAAGGGGATAGCAAATAAAATAATAAAATTCCTATTTTAAAAAGTACTTTAAACTGTATGAATTAAATAGACTTAACCAATTATAGGAATGCCGTCCTATGAATGTGATATAAAGTAAATTTGGAATCAATCGATTGCTTCATAAATCGAAGAAAAAAAAAGAGAAACACTATATTAGCTATTTTTGTGTTAATAACCTTATTTTTATTATCGCTTGCTGTCGCATATGATTTCACTACGCTTACTAATACAGTTGTATGCGTGAACTCTTAATTTTTATTTTACTTTTTTTTGTTTAAGAATTTCTTTTTCAACATGCAAGTAATGCATGTTGTAATATTGGGTCATGGACTCACTAAAAGGCAAATCTTTTTTTAATTTGACTTTAATCTTGCTAATGCACGACGAATGTACATCCTTGGATCGTGAACTCACAAAAAGATGGAAAGTTCGAAGCATCACTACCCATTAACTTCTTATCATAGTAACAAATTATTCAATATTTTATCACGTTAACTTAATATCTTATCATAGTAACAAATTATTCAATATTTATATCATATGGAAAGCTTACTCAGCATCGTTATTTCCATACTGCATAAACACAGCTCAAAAAAACTAGTATCCATTAGCTCCATTCAGAGCTCCATTAGCTCCATTCGCAGCTCCGTTGCTAACTTTGTGTATGAGGTGAGTGAAATGTCCATGTACATACGCCATTATGCGTATACATTTCTGTATTGCAGATTACCGAAAAAAACTGGAAACTGGTAAAAATCATTACCATTACTTCACAAGTCGTTCAACATCATCATTAGAGATGGGCAAAATGCACATTTTGCGTCATGCCATTAGCGCATGATGTACATGACTTACATATAACAGAAATTCATATGATTGAAGTAGTGATTATAATATTATTATCACGGCATGATTGCCAATTCATAATATTAATAATTAACACTAACCGAAACAGAGATCACGTTGCCTAAAACATGTAATATAGTGTTCTGCAAAAAAGATTCGAACGGATCCTGTATTTTTAATAGGCAAGAAAGTAGAATTTCATAAAGGGTAACCAAAATTAAATTTACATGTATAATAATAGGGAGAATATACTACCACCAACGGGCACCAATTGTGAAATATACAAACCCAAGAAATTTAATACAAGTCGTGAAATTAAAATTTTAGGGTTAGAACGTTAAAGTTAGATGCTATAGAAACAAATAATCACTTCCTATATGTAAAATACTCATTTTCTTGTATTTTTCGCTTTTTTCATTTTTTTTTTCGTGTTTGTTTCGCTTTGCTCACGTGTCGGACTGATCCAAGATAATCACATTCTACGTTCTCCGATTGGCTAATTTCCCTTTTGGATTTGTATCACTCGAACAATAAGTGCACGTCTCACACCTAAATAATCAATACAGTATCGGTATTAGTTTTTCATAAACCGGATCTAATCCAGATTACGATCCTTTGAAAACCTGACTGGCAACGGGCGTTTGTGAGAGACAAATGAAGCCTGTCGCTATTGCCAATCACCAATAGCATGTCTTCCATATTAATCATAAATGCAGTTTCAATTCGAGTACTGTATATTTTATGAAATGCTACTTTATGCCCATTAAAAAATCTTTACATATTAAAAACTAGCAATATACAATCTTTTTTTAGTTGCTTAATAACAACAAATACGGTTAAATCTATGCAAAAGAAAAATAAGAGACCGATCATAGATCGGAATTATCTCTTATATAAACTCCGTAATATCATTAATGTGTTAATGATAAGAATAATCAAAAAATAATATATAACTAAAATATATAAAGCAGCAACTACACTATTCAACCTTAATTATCGAAGAAAGCCCTATAATAATTTCTATATAATGATCGACAGATATTTAAAAGATCTTCAAGCAGGTGAAAAATTGGCGGAATGGTTAATTGCTAAATATAAAGCACTTAATGCAATAGAAAATTCCAATAATTATAATATCATTATCCAAGAGTTGAAAACCATCCTTTCAAAGTATCAATCAATACAGTACGGGCAACTTCGAAAAGAAGATGTCCAGTGGCTTTATGACCGTAAAGAACATATGGATTCTTGTATAGACAATAAGCTTCAAAATAATTTTAACCTTCTTAATGATGAAATAAATCAGTTAGGACGTGATTTAGAAGCAAGTTCAAACGATATAAAACCTAATGATTACAAGATATATCAAAAATCGATTCAATATTTAAAGTGTCTTCATTCTGGAAACGATCAACTAAGAAATCATAATCATTTAATAGAATTTGTTAACTCAGGTGTATTGCATTTTATTAATGACGAATTAGTTAAAGAGTTAGTTAAAGAGCCCTATATAAATGAACATAAATTCGATGAACTTAAAGAAACAATTAATAAATTGGAAAGCAATATTGATTGTCTAAATAATAAGAGAAAAGAAGAGGAGTCTTATCTAAATAATGAATTCAATAAAAGATATAAGTCAATTTTTAATAAAAATTTTCAAAATTTTCTTAGTGAAAAGGTCAAACTAAAGGATTATATAATGAATCAATATACCAATTCTAAAATTCATTATAATAATGACAATAATAGTGAAGTTTATAGAGTCCTTAAAGATTTCAGTAACACGGAACTGCTCAATGACATTCAAATTCTTCGTAAAGAAAAAGCACGTTTAGAAGATCATTTGATGAAAACTAACATTGAAATGATTTTGGAAAACCTCACACAAAACAAGCCAAAATATAATGTCTTTAATAAAAAAAAAATGCCCACGCAAAACGAGCAATTTGTCTCAAAGATTAATAATAACCAAGCTATTAAAAAGGATTTAATCGAAATAGAAAACAAAAATGATAATACTCTAGATCAATTAAAACAATCCAAATCTCAAATAGAGGATCTTGATAATGAAGTTAGAAAATACGATTCAATTATGAAGAATGTTAATAGTAAACGTAATGAAACAATCCAAATGCTGAATGATGCAATTAGTCAAAAGCGCCGGTGGGGAAATTACTTAAAAAGGAAATATCTCCTGCTTATCGAGTTTGAAAACTTTAACGAAGAATCCCCAAATATTAATAAATATAGAAAAAATATTGAAAATATTGAAGATATGCTTTTAAATAATAATGACAATATCGGCAACACGTTTTTATTCCAACCCCTTTACGAAGAAAAAGAGCGTCGAAAAATTTATCTGACTACTCAATTTAAGAATATTATTGAAGCTTTTAATGATGAAAAGCAAAAATTAGAAAATAAATTAGTCTATATAAAGGAAATTGAAAAGTATCAAAAACTCCAAGGCGACATTAAATCTCTTCGTACAGAAGAAGCGAAATGGAGATCCAATTTAATAAATCAACATATTGAATTGGAAAATTTCATGAATAATGAAAGGTCTGACTCTGTTATAAATAATGAGAGAGTTCAAAAACTTAAGAATGAGAATCAGCTTAATACCTTTAATTTTGAAAATCCAACCCCAAATAATATTTCCCGTCTAATTAATGGATGTGAACAAACCATCCAAAAACTTGAAGAAGGAATTAAGTCTCTTCAAGCTGAACAAAGCTATATCGTTAAAAAAATTCGTACATTAAAAGTAAAAATTAAATGTGAATTAATGCTTAAATCTCATCAACAAACTCAATTAGAAGATCTTGAAAAATGGACACTCATCCCAAATGAGTGTCTTCAAAAGATGGAGCAATTTCCAGGTATTCTTAACAATAACGATGCCAGCTTAAACAAAACAAAAGGCGGTAATGATCGAACACAGCAATTAGAAAATGAATTTTTTGATCTTAAAGGCGAACTGGAAGCAAAAGATAGTAAAATACGCGAATTAATCGATAAGAATAATTCACTTAAAAACGAGGCTGTCAAATCAGAAAAATTAAAAAAGGAAGTATCGACTCTTAAAGATGAGCTGGAGGTAGCAAATAATAAAATGGGCGAATTAATTGCTAAGAACAAATCTCTTAGAAATGAAGCTGCTAAATATTCATCCGAACTTG